CCACCCACCTCTTTTTCCCTTGGCATAACCTCCAGCAGTAGCACACTCTCAGTTTAGCTTCTGCCTCGTCTCCTGCCCCACTGCCCGTACTCTGCGGTGCCCCATTGTGCGATAACAAACAGATGTTGTGGAATTTCCTCTGAACGAACTGCCAGTGACAGGCCTGCACCCTTGTCTGGCAGTGTGAGGGGCGGGGGTGCGCACTGGCACAGAGTTTGGCAAAAGGGTTGGCCGATTGTTTCCTCACTCTGTACACATGTGGAACATTTCAGTTTTTCAGCGCTGCTGCGTGCGCGCAGGTGCCAGAGAAGTTAATGTAAACACCGGTGTGTGTGTGTGTGTGTGTGTGTACTTTCCTCATTCTTCCTTTTTTTGTTCATAAATTATTAAATATCTCACACACACACACACACACACACACACACACACACACACACACACACACACACACATATATTTCTATGTCTCCCTGTCCGTGTCCCTTTTAACTGACTCATTTTGTTTTCAGTCACTGGCAGATTGCGACAGCTCACAATCTCTTGAACAGATCATTTTCCCCCCATCGACTTTTAATTCCCAGCGCTTTTATCCCCCCTCATATCTTTTGCACATATTCTTAACTGATATCTGCATTTAGCAAAACACTCGATTATTATTTTAGCTAGACGTTAATTGGAATTCACACCATAGTACTTGTGACATTTTGATAATCGCACTATTGACTGTTATGTCGGACAAACACTCTAGATTTTTTCCCCCTACCAAGTTGAGTGAGAAAACGAGTGGGCATGAACATGATAATTTAAACAGCGAGATTCATTCACTCACTTTTCATCCTGAGTGGAGCACGGAGTGTCACTGGAAGTTTTTTTTTCTTAAGTCAGACTAGCTAAATGATTTTTTTTGTAAATGCAACTTAGTTTTTATTTACGATATCGCCACTAATTATACATTAAATGATTTAATCACAGAAAAGAACAAATGTTCGCAGAAATTCATAAACTCTATAAGAAAAACACTTGTGAATTCCTCATCTCTTTTCTTTTTTTATTGACGAGAGCTGCATATATTTGTATTTAAAATATTTCTCAGTTTGACCTTATTGCACACTCCTTTATGAGCTTATTGTGTCACAACCTCTCTTTCCCTCTACACGCACTTAGCGCTCACGCAGAGGCCTGTAATCGTTCCATGGAACTAAAAGCATAAATGCGTTCACTGCATGACTAACAGTGGCAAGTTAGTAGACAAGAGGTTGCCAATCTAACTGATTTGCTCTTTTTCCTTCAAAGCTAAAACCTTTTGCAAGCTGCCTGCGATTTTTTAAATCTACTACTACTACTTTCTTTCAAATTTGGCTGTTGCGTGTGTCTGTATGTGTGCCACCAGCCTAATTTGTTGCAAGGTAACCACATGTGAGGGCTTTCAACACCCGCAGTTAAATTCCAAGGATGCAACACAACCTTCTTGCAATGCATGAGCTCGTGTACTACATAACATTAGAGAGAAATATGCATATTCATAGACCAACTCTTCACAGAAATGCCTTACTGCTGTGTATCTGCGTGAGTTGTGTGTACGATGTGTGTGTGTGTGTGTGTTTTGCGAAGGGTTACTCGGGATGAGCGCTCTCGTTTTTAAACGTCCTGGATAATGAACAGATGCTGCAAAAATTAGGAAAGAAACATCGACTCCTCCCAGCAGTGCCACTTTGGCCCGGTGAACTGGCACACTGGCGCACACACTGGGTTGTCCTCTCCGGAGCTCCTGGTGCTGCTGCTGGGGAACATTAAGGGACTTGGCACGGCTTTCCTCCGCCAGCCTGCCAGCCTCTCACTCTTTCACTCTCACCGGACTGTGGAGGAAGAGGAGGTGGTGATGGTGGTGTCGGGGGTTCGGGGAGTATTTTGATAGATGCCCTCTCCCACTGCTGGCTGGAGTCACTTTTAGATTGGCTCCTCCAGAAATCCATGCACTCTTCTTTTTATTTATTTTTTCTGCTGATGAGGCCAAAAAGAACATAGGGGCACAAAAGTGTTAACACAAAAAAGCAGAGTGGGCCTCAGAGTTTTATGTGGGAGGAGGTTTAAAGCAAATAATCCGAAACAACAGTGTCTGATTATCTGTTTGATTCCCACCAGGGACTGTCACTGCACCCATGAGTTGAGCTTCTATAAATAGAAGTATTTTTTTTAAATATATTGATCAATCTTCAATGATATTTATCACATAAAACAACATACTGTTATTACACAAGAATTTACAGACTACTTGAGGATCAGTAAAAATATATGCCGTCAATATGTCCGAACTACAAAACGTGTAACGATATTTTTTTCCCTGTTACAGGTATGTTCTCGACGAAAAACTCGTCTTTTTTCAAGCTTTTCAAGGCATTATAATTTTTATATTCCACATGACGATATCTTCCTCTTTTGGGGAAGAGAGAGGTAAAAATGGCAATTTTCATAACTTAGTTTTCACAATAAAACACTCATTTTATTTTTAAATGATGTGAATCGTCGTTAGATCAATACCCAGTAAAGACGTCGAGGTTAATAAGTTGAATATATACGTTTAATTAAGAAAGTGCTGATTTTTTTTTCTCTTTTTTGACGGAAACTGCTGTAAGTAAAAATTGCTTCTTTTTTTTTTTATTGGTGCATGTTTTACACAGAACATTATTACATTCTCACATAACTTATGGTGTGTCGCATTCATCCAAACCTTAAGCATTGATATCAGCAGATTAAATTCGTGGGAACACACAGATTTACCGAATTGACAGGAAATGATCAGCAAGTTGTTCCAGAAAAAAATACATGATTCCAACATTTCAAAGCAACATTTTAAACATCAATATAATTAAAACATTCTCCCAAAACATCTGATTTATTTTAAAAAGCCGTGGAACAATCTGAGTTTTACTTTTTGATATATTTATATAATTATTTGTTTTCTCTTCGGTGTTGATGTTGCGTACCATCACCCGCCACTCAGGTCCTGTGTGTGTCATTACAGCAGTGAGCACCCACCACATTTTGGGGAGCATATGGGTTGCAGGGCAGAGCTCCAAACCCAGCCGGGGTCGCAACGGCTGCCCCTTGCACTGTGACAGCGCGTGGACACCACACGATGATGTTTCTCCCTTTAAATAATATATACATAAATTAAAGGTGGTTAAATTGGTTTTTAGAAGTTATGTTATTCAGACTTCTCCTCTGTGATAACTTGATGTGTGTGATAGGGAGAATTTACACCTCATATATCCACCTGAATCAATTCAAACACCTGATGAATAAGCCTATATATTCATATTGCCATATTACTGAAGTGTTTAAATGTTTTCAGATGTGTTAAAGTTTGAAGAAGGGAACTTTTAGGAAAGGAAAGGGAACTGATTATACATCAGCATGAATATGTTAATGAATAGTCTTTAAAATAATATTGTTTTAACAAATATTTGGATTTTAGCTGGTGTCACGGCTGCATTGCTTCCGTTGCGTCAGGATCGCAAAGTGTGTGTGTGTGTGGGTTTTCTTTTTTTACACAATTATAAATATGAAGGCATTTGAAACAAACAGGCCTAATGCTTATGTATCAATGATGTAAAGAGTATTTAAGCGATCGAAATAATGTGATGATTAACAGAAGAGGTGTTTATGTGTTTTCCTTTTGGTGTTGGAACTTTAGACTTCTGAATGAGCGATGGAATATTCTGGTGCAAAAGAAAAGGACATACACAACGTGTTTGTTTCCTAAAAATCTAAAAAAAATCACTTGCAAAATGGAGCCCTTTATGTTCTGCATGGCGTTAAGCTTCACACTGCATGGACCAAACACCAGGTGTAAGAGCTGTCCGAGGTGCTGAAAGAGACTTCTTTCTTCCTTCTTTCTGGTCAAGAAAGTGTGAAGGAGACGCCATGATGCTGTTAATTGCAGCGCTTAGCATAATTTAATCTGTATTTTGTGTGTGTGTGTGTGTGTGTGTGTGTGTGTGTGTGTGTGTGTGTGTGTGTGTGTGTGTGTGTGTGTGTACGTGTGTTCACCACGGTGTCCAGGTTCTATTCATCTTGTAGATTCTCCCTTGAGCCAAATGTCCGCAGTACATCTGTTGACGTCCTGAGATACATTCAAATCTTTCCGTGCATTTTTAAAGGCGGAGACCTTCGCCAGGCAAAAACGACGCACTGGCACCATTTTAGTCAATCTAGAAAGATGGCAACACCGATCTCTCCCTCCTGCCCTATTTTATAGGATAAAAGCCCCGAGGCTTGGAGGAACTCCTGCAGGTTGTGGCACGAGGCCCGGTCAGGCTCATAATATCCAAAAGGAGTGATGCAGGCTATGCACATTTTTCCTTATAAATTAAAGTCATTTTAATAATAAAACGCATGTAGATGTCCAAAGACTTAAAAAGGAATCAATTTGCACAGTCTCGTTTATCGTCGTTTTATTGTACCACACAGTTTATTGAATACAAAGTTAAAAGACTTGAGTCTTTTCAAAAAATAAAGCAATAATAATATTAATAAAATAAATAAATTAAAATAACGAAAGAGCAAAAAAAAAAAAAAATAGAACAATGGTCAGCAACACAGTGTTCCCTTCATTTCCGGACACTATTAACATTAATTAGAAAACAATACAATAAATACGTGCAATAATAATAATGATAATAATAATAATAATAATAATAATAATAATAGTGAAGTGTTTAGCATAGCAGATTGCAAATAGAAAATATGGAACCAAAAATTTGATTTGAAAATAAAATACAGTGCAATGGCTCACTTAGAAGAGCAACGGTAATATGTATGAATAGAAGTAGAAAATTAAATAAGAAAAAGTCCGATTCCAATGTCATTTATTTATTTATTTATTTATTTTTATTTTTTTGTTTATTTATGTTTTTATTTTAAAGTTGAACATTGTGGCCAGCCCATTTTCAGGTGTGTGTGTATGTGTGTGTGTGTGTGTGTGTGCGTGTGTGTGTGTGTGTGTGTGTGTGTGTCTGCGCGCACCCGTGCGTGCAGCAACAGTGCTGATGAACATACAGTGTCCTTCTGGGCCTACTTGCCTCGCTCTGTGGCCTCGTTAGATTTTGCATAGACGCAGAAACGATTGATTTGCTGTAGAACAGATTCTTCTAAAGCAACCCAACAAGTACAGTTCTCAGGATTTTTCCCTCTGTTTTCGTCTGGATTTAATTATTTCTCAAAAAAAACCCAAAAAACAAAACCCAAACAAACATACAAACACATCTTTCCAAATGTGATGTCGTTTTGCTCGGTTATTCATGTATTTTATTAGAAAACCATCGCAAATATCAGGGTAGAGCTGTAGCCAGTGATGTAGTGGTGAATAAATTAGTGCGTAAACTTTGACTCCCAGCCATGAAAATACAGACAACCACCAATACAAAGACAAACCACAGATTAAAATTATGAACAATTTAAGATTCCATTTTCCTCATTAGTCTTGATTTGTTTGTCAAATTTCCGCTTAGAGATAGAAACATTGCGTAAACTAACACTTTGCAGGTTAGGTATACTACCTTCCACTACATCTCTGACTATAGCAAAAACATGTTTTAAGACAGAACAAATTAAAAGAACAACACTAATGACAACAAGTGGAGGATTTCCCCCAGAATGCCTAAATCCTGGCGGGTAAGCTTGTCAAAAAGTGTGTCGTGGATAGATTGTTGATTGCAAGGGGACGCACGATAGGCTTGTCGTCTAATTGTGAAAAAACGCGTTCAGTTCATCATAGACGGGGGCCCGTTCGTGGTGTATGTGCATGTCGTGGTAAGGCAGGACATTTTCAGTATGAATACCGCTCCGGGTCCCCGAGGAGCCAAACACCAGGTTGTGGGCCCCAGCGGGTCTGGAGCCAGGCAGACCGGAGTAATGCATAGAATAGTGGTACCCCTTCTCGTTGTCGGGGGACGCAGAGCCTTGATGCTTCAGGGAAAAGTTGCCATTGATGCACAGAGGCGGACTGAGAGGCCCCTCATATTCGGGACTGTTATACTCCGGGGATCCGCTCCCGCCATACAGTGAGTCGTAAGTCGAGCAATAGCCGTGTGTCCTCAGCGGGTGCGAGTTCGAGCCCGGTTGGCAGTGGGGGCTAGACAGACGCGCGCACTGGTAAGGGTAGGAATGCATGGAGAAGGAGCCTGACCCATACCTGCCCCCCTCCTGGCACTGCTGCTCAGTGAGGAAGTTGCGGGAGTTCAGCTGGAGGCATCCCGCCACCAGGTTGGTTGTGGGCTGGGAGAGACCCTTGCACAGCGTCTGGACGTAGGACACAAGGTCAGGCCTTTTCCCAGAGCGTAATATCTCAGACAGGGCCCAGATATAGTTTTTGGCCAATCGTAACGTCTCAATTTTGGACAGCTTTTGTGTTTTGGAGTAGCAGGGCACCACTTTACGCAGATTGTCCAGAGCAGAGTTCAGGTCATGCATGCGATTGCGTTCTCTAGTATTTGCTTTTACCCGCCGCATCTTGGAGCGCTCGACCCTGGCCTGGGTCATTTTGCGTTTTTTGGGGCCCCGTTTCTTGGGCCTGTCTCCCTCCGTGTCTTCTCCGTCGTCCTCTTCTTCCACTTCGTCGTCCTCGTCGTCTTCCCCATCGTGTTCTGAGTGAGTCCGACTGCCTCCTCTTAGACCAGAGACCTCCATGCCGTCCTGGGTGTCCTGATCCTCCTCTTTGATCTTGTCGCTGTCGCTGTCTTCGGTCCAGCCGGAATATTTTTGTACGTCGGGAAGCAGCGAAGGATCACTGAAAAGCCTCGTTAACATTGTGGATCTAGAGGGGAAGGAACATATCTGAAATTAGGCCTCGGAATCACAAGACATTTTGTGTGGGCGCTGCAGATTGCGTGACAGCGAAGAAATTTCAGATACAATGGTTCCACAAAAACCCTAAATCAAACAAACAAAAAAAACCTTCCTTTATCGCACTTCACAATAAAAATTCAAATATTTGGCTTATTTTAGGATTATTTAAACTCCCGAGGATGTATTATATTTAAGGTTATTGCTAAATTGTTGTTGTCCCAGAAAAAATGACAAAATGCGTAAATTTGGGGAAAGAGTAAAAGTGAAAGAAATCCCTCAAATCTTTAGGCTGGGCTACAGCCAGACGGATCCCCATTTAATTCCCTGCTGTCAGTCGTATGCCCTGCCGCGTCCTATCGCAGCGGGTCCCAGCGGCAGGGGCCACATTACAGGTCCCATGGGGGCCCCCACTTTCACTCCTGACGCCCATATACACTCCTGGCTGCATTCCAGCACCTCTGCTCATGGCAGGCAAGGCAAAGAGGATTTTATGTAATTGATAGGCTGTCCACCTAAATTTTGTCTGATCATATATACATTTATATATATATGAGAATAAGGGAAACGGAACACAAAAAATCCGTTTTTAAAACATATCACATCAATGAAAATAATAATAATCATAGTAAAAGTACATAAAATACTGTCACTATCATTATAATACCTTATTATTAACCGTTAACAATTAATCATTAATGACACTTGCTGACTGTAACATCTGAAAAACGAAACGAAAACGATCAGCCTACCACTTGATTAGCAAATGCAGTCCCATCACAGAAAAAGAAACACGCAGAAACACGGTGATCTTTGACAGATTCAATAAGGCTCCACTGGCTTCCTCCCTGACACGTTCCACTTCCGAGCTGTTATTATAGTGCAGCATCAGATAGACTTGCAGCTCATGGTAAGGTAGGCTGTGGTGGTTGGTTAATTATCTCGGGGGGTGTGCCAGGGGCAAAATCTAGTTTTTAAATCTCAGGCTCAGGAGGTTTGCTCAATTAGAAGCAAAAACACAACATCGTTTAATTAACAGACCGTGCAGCTTACACGAAATAGATTTCACACATAATTCAGTATGCACGAGTGCACGATTTCAAAGCACTTTTTAGTCAGCGATAACCTTTACAGATGGAAATCGCTTGTATCGTTTTAGCCCTCGTTAAATATAAAAAATCAAGTCGTGAAATGGCCTCTCTTGCAAAGCCTCCTGCCCCTCCACTGAAAAAGGCAAACCATGTTGTGGCGAGATAGATTGTTGAAGATAAAACTGGACAAACAGAGATAAATCATGCCGCAGACTGCCTGTCACAGTCAATGGCGTTGTCCCACCCTTTCATTTGCTCCGAGACTGAACGTGCAAATCATCGACAAAATCATCAATAAATCTCCCATTAAGTTCGAGGACGTCCTCCATCAAGGTACCGGAGCCGATTTATAAAAACAAATCTTCCACGGAAATGTCTCACACTCATTGTCTTTTGTTTGTCAGATTCAAGGTCCAGACGCAGGAATCTCTAAATCAAATTAGTGTCCGATGTGATCTATTTACAGCCCGTGCGCTGTGATCAGGGCTGCTCCAGTCCTCGGAACCGCTCCTGTAAATGATCATAAAGCAGTGAAATCGGGATCAGGAGACGCTTGGCTTTTTGACTTGAGCGCGTTAGGCTGTCTGATTTATGATAATCCAGCTAGTTTGGGATGTTTGAAGTTGAAGGGCAAGCCGAGCAGGTGAGAGAGTGAGGAGCTATTTTGTGCAAATGCGCCCGCATTGGTATCCAACAAAAAGGCAAACACGAAAATTGCACGTTAATGCGTGACATTTTTTTATTAGATTGGGTTTCAAAGCGTGCCATCACCGGCATTGTGCTTTTAATCTAGTGGATCGATCCCAACATACCAGAGCAAAGTCACTGACACTGGAGGCGACTATACATTTACATTTTTATCTGTAGAATAGACCTTTACAATAAAATGTATGTGCAATAAGTGTGTTTAATTCACCTCTAACATTTATTAAAAGTTAATTCTGACAATATATCCAAACACCTGGAATTAAAATGCATTTAATTTATAGATTAAATTTCTCCTACATTTTGCACTCACACTTCAGCAACACTGATAGTTTTTTTTTCTAAGCCTGTATTTTTTTGTTCCAACTTACCTCGGCTCGAGCTCTTCGCAGGGGATGGGAGGAGAAAAAAAAACGCTCTTTACTTTCAGACCATCTTCAGGGACCACACGAGCGAGCGAACCACCGCTCTGTATCAGAGTATAGGTGCAGGAAGCGCGCGTCTTTCTTCACTGGTGCTGACGTTAAGCGGTGCCGCTCTCCCAGCACGCGCGCCCGAATAAGTGGAGCTTGTGAACGAACGTGCGTCTTGGCTGTGTCTTTGTGTATACGTGTGAGTGACTGAGTGAGTAAGTGAGCATGTATGCATGTGTGTGTATGTGTGTGTGTGCGCGTGTGGCAACCGTGAGCTACCGGGGACGGGGTTACATACCAGCTATGGCTGTGATGCCAGCGCCCATATGGCTGGCACGTCACCGGCAAGAGCCATCACATGAGAGCCCGGTGATTGACATGCGCCCGCATTCGGAGAGATTTGCCCTCCCGGGGGAAAGAGAGACACACAGAGAGAAAGAGAGAAAGAGAGAGAGAGAGAGAGAGAGAGAAGCAGGAGGAGGTAGATGTGATGGTGGTGGAGGAGGAGGAGGAGGAGGGCTTCGCCATCTGTCACCGCGCTAGCGCTCACACAGCCAGAAAAAAAGGAGGAAAAACAGAAGAGAGAGGGAGAAAATAAAATGGTGGAACAACAAAACTCATCATTGTTGACCTGTGCTGCTGTTTCAAGACATGTAAGCTACTTTTTTAAAATTCAAACCTGTGAAATTTGGTAATCCCCTGCCAAACTCACGACTCGGCGTTTAATACAATATAACGGAGAGCTGCACAAATATCCCCGCACTTACCACGAAAAAAGTGATATTAAAAGGGCTAAAGACAATTAAGCATGTGAAGTCATAGCAGAAAACCCACTGATGCTAATTCCATATATTATGGTAGTCATCACACTCCAGCATCACCCATGAAGGATATACTCTTATAAAAATGTGGAATAAGTGGCAATACAGTGGGTAAACTATAACCAGCAGTCAAACAAGAGCTACTTAAAAATATCTGAGCAAGCAATTAATCAATTATCTTCTCTCAAAGTCTATCCTCAAAGCCTATTATAAAATCATATCAATTAACTCTCATCAAATGAAAGGTGGGCAAACCGTGTTTATTTGTGGGGTTTACCCTCCACCACAGCTCCGGTTCAGAAGCTGAGTGGGGGAGGGAGATGGGGATGCATTATAAGTGCATTAAGACGTGGAACAGACGGCATATTGTTTATTTATTTACCTAATTGGATCAAATTATGCTTCAATGTATTCAGAGGAACGACAACCAAAACCAACTGTGATTTGTTCTGACTCTTCTGGGCCCAACACTGGCTGCAGATGACCCACTTGCCGGAGCTTCAAATGAATTAGATTAAAACATATACCATTACATAGGCTTTAGCTGCATGCATGGTGTGCGTGTGTGAAGATCAAATGTTTACTGGTAACAGTGTCTGAATGTGTGAGGTTTGCCAGAGCTGCTGGTCATGTTTTCAGCATGCAGGGCGGGTGGGTGGGTGGGGATGTCCACAGGGGCAAGTGTCACAGAGAGAGGGAAAGAGATACAGAGACACAGTGAGAGGATGGGTGAGAGAGAGTCTGAGACCCAGGTGTGCAGACCCACTAGGGATGTTTGAAAAATGAGGAGGAAGGGGGGTGTAGCAGTAGATGACATGCTGGTTGAATCTGGCAGAGATCCTCAATATTTAGGAGGCACGTTGGCACATCAGTGGCAGAGATGCAAGAATTCCTTGCCACCAGCACCCCGATCCCTCCAATATGTCTGATTTGCTGCATTGTGTCCACCCCAGCTCAGAGATCTCTCTATTTAGGAGGCATTAGTGGAGTTAATGTGGGAGAAATGAGCCTGATGACCACCAAGTCCAACTTGGCACAAAGACATGCATCGGGCTGAGGGAACAGGGACCTGGAGGCTGAGAAATAGCTGATAGAAGCTGATCATGTCCTTGGGTCTGGATCACCCCTACATTGCCTGCAAAGCCACAACTATGGCAGTGTTTGAGAGGTTGCGGGGTCATCCCTGGGGTTAACGCTAGTGTGGCAGCTGTGGTTAGGGAGCCGTGATGTTGCACATTCATTAATGTGTCTCTTATCCCTTATGGGAAAGAGGGAATGATAAACTGGCAGTACCTTGAACCACGGTGGTGTGATTGTGTCAGCATGTGTATTTGTGTTGAGGGACACTGAGCTTCACTGCTAGCCAAATTGGTGCCCTATCCTACCTCAGCTGGACGGTGGAGGGGGGGGAGAGATGCGAGCGCTGTGGTGATGGGAGCCTGGTGCTTCCCAACAAGTCCAAAACAACCTTCAGGTCACCTTGCCAAAATAAATGCTAAATGTCAACGGCGTGGCTTTAGCCAGCACTGGGCTCAAGGCGGCTCCAATCAAGGAGAGTTTGATCTGAAATTGAAATGCCAGAGAAGAGCTTGTTTGGAATTATGATGTTTTAGAATGACTTTGCATCCGGTTTGTATGTGGATTAGCCTTAAGTAAGGACCACCTGCTGTGCTTTTACAGGCTAAACGCATGCAGTCAGATTCTAAATTAAAGTCCTCTCCCTTTAAGATCTCAAATTCTCCATCACTCGTTTCCTCCATGTTCAAATGACACATACGAGCCTTTCAAAGTCATCAAGCCACACCTCCCTATACCGTTGTCATTCCCTCACCCCTTCCTTCTTCCCTTTTTTTACTGTCAGACATGTGAGGTGATGACCTGCACTTCACTTGTCTTTCTGGAAGAAGTGCAAACTTCTGCTGGCACAAATATGAAATACAGCTCACATGCACACACACATATACACACATATACACACATATACACACATACACACGGACCCTCCCACCCCCATCAGACTCCCGGACCCCATCTGCACTCTCCTCTCTCCAGTCCCCTAATTGCATATGCACAAATGCAAATGCCTATTAATTAATTACTTGACTAATTAGTGCAGTGGTATTTTAGGGCGATAAATCAAGTAGAGATGGGGCCGAGGACGGCGGGGCAGGAGGAGGGCTGCACGGAGCATCGACAATGAACCCACACCAGAGGGAGTAATCCTAATGTACAAGGCTTGTGCGCGTGTGTGTGTGTGCTGTGAAGAGAATGTGCACAGCAGAGATCCTGAAGTAAAGCACCGTTTAAAAATGCTGAAGAGACCAAAGAGGTGACTGAGGGAGGCGAGTACTTTCAGTCTGGAAGAGGAGGTGAGAAAGGTAGCCAGAGAGAGGGGAGGCGGGGGGAGAGAAGAAATTGAGGTAGGTTGAGAGATGACCTCTGCTCTGCCAACTGTGCTGTTTCCTGGCACGCGGCCAAGCTCGGATGCTCGTTGCACCTATTTTCATAAAGGAGAAGGGATCAGCTACATACTAGGAGTGCTACTGATCCATATTTATGCTCACATTGTAAACCTTGTACAATAGTTCAATGAGCATAACAGTTGGCATCATTTACGCAGCGATACTGATGTGATAATTGTGGCATCTGTGATTGGGAGGTGAATAATTCTGGCAGCCATGATAAGCTGTGTATCCGTCTATGTATGTGTGTGTGTGTGTGTGTGCCTGTAGGTGTGCCAGGCCCCCACCATAGGTACCCATGGAGATCTCCGGACTGAAATATTCATTCTTGTTTGCTCGCCCAGACAGTGTGGTCCTAATTGCAGCATCAGAAAGCTCCACCTCTCCCTCTCGTCTGGCTTGGCTGCAGCAGAGATAAACCTCATCTGGGAGCAGGATGTCTCTGTAAGTACGTGTGTGTGTGTGTGTGTGTGTGTGTGTGTGTGTGTGTGTGTGTATTTGTACACCCGTCCTCTTTTCTGGGGTTTTTAGGTGGGTGCTTGGCTTGCTCTTTCTTCACTTACTCATTTACAAATGTTGCACACAAAGCCCCCTTTTCGAGGAGCGCTTCTCATCACAAGTCTGTCAAATTCATTCATTTGATTTGCTGCATGTCACATTTTCCCCTTGTATTTCAGCTTGTCTTCATGCCTCATTCCTTCTGCCTGTGATGGAGTTGGGTCGACTATTGATCTTTCTGTCAACATGTCTGTCTGTCGATCTGTCTGTCCACAGGGCGAATATGAGGCTCTGGAGTTTTTCATCAGTTCCCGTGCCAACCCTACCCA